GCACCTATTAGAACATTAATATTTGTTAGATTTAGGGTTTTTATTCATGTAAACAATAGTTAAAATAAATCTAAAATTGACGTATGTGATATTTTTATAAAATAACACCCAATGAGACATTTTTCTACGAATACCAGTGAATAACCGAAACTTTTTTAGGAATTGTGAAATTTCACTACTATTGTTTATAGAAAAATCCTAAAATACAGAGCACTCTAAATAACGACAATTTTATGATTATATTTCGAAAATTGTTATTTTGGTATATTTTATTATAATGTATATTTTACATATTATCAAACTATTATAGAATGAATATGAATATTAAAACATATACGTATTTTAAAGGTATTAATATTTTCTCCCCCCTTTAAATAGCAGATAACATTTCAGCAATGAGAGACACCAGTATTTAGAGATTTCATAAAACATAATTTTTACAAATAACTGAGTATATATTTCATTACGCTTCATATAATTTATATTTGTTTTATCTAAATTTTAATATATAAAACATTATGATTTTTTTTTATTAATCGATCGCGTTATTCGAGGTTTTTTTTAAATATTAATTAAATAAAATTGTTATTCCTAACAAATAAAGTATAATTAAAATAATTTCAATATTCAGAATAATGTATTACATTTTTAAGAAAAGTTAATTACATTTTCTTTATTTAAGAATCCACGTTACAGCGCATAAAACATTTATCGACGCATTTATAATATTATTATGAAAATCAAAGAGTGATATTTAAGAAAATGAAAAAACAAAAACCAAGCGTTTATATAATTTTACACAGCAAAGTGCCATTAACTTATTAAAGGTGGAAAAATACAGTCAAATATATTATTACAACGCAAACATTAATATACTTAACATACACGTGGAAATGTTTATACATCGTCATAAATATTACTTACGTACTGTGTAAAAAAATAAAAGAAAAAATAAGAAAAGTTTTAATATTATGTACCTTTATTTTATAGTGATATAGTATATGCAATAATATAGAGGTTGGATATACACTTTGTTCATAAACAAATATAAAATATGTAGTGTGTACATAAATATAATATGTATACTGAATACCACTGGAGGGGGCAGCGCGATTTACTGTTTTAGTTAAACATGAAAACCGGAAAATACAAGGTGGACACCCTGTTTGTGGAAGTCTTATCCATATATTTATACATAAATTTAAATGTTTACTACACAATATAAGTTTTCAAATATTTACTACTATTAGTGGGCTCTGCGAAGACTTCTCGCATTTTCTAATGCTTTTTTTTCTAAAATTGACTGTTTATTTACCTCTATGGAAATATTGGGACAACTTTTGCAATAGCAATACTTCAAATCAACCATACATATGAATTTAAATCAAAATAAGTTTTGCGAATTTTTGGATTATTATTTATTCAACTTTTTTAACTAAAAAAAGTCCATTATTTGTAAAAGATTAAATTATGAGGGTTATAATGATAATTTAAAAAACATTGTCATCAATACTTATAATATATTGATATATTAATACTTATAAAAAAGTTTTTAATATAATTTAAGAAGTATGTAGTCATCAGATTAATATTACACAATTTATAATATTTTATGAACACCTATCTTATCACTATAACATTTTAGGCATATCTATTTTCATGAAATTTTGTTATTAGTTCAGCTTAATATTTTAGAAGCTTTTTTTTTATGAATTTTGATTTAGATAATATATCAGCATATTATTATCAAATCAAGAAAAAATTGCTTAAAAGTCTATAGAGTAAAAAAGGTAGTCTTAATTTGAAAACAATGAAGCCTATGTAATGTTATAATATTCTCCTTAAATATTATAAAAATCTAGGTGCTGGCCAATATGTACTGTAAATAACAATAGTTATAATTACTAAAAATAAGAGCTTAATTAAATGCATTCCTAATTAAAAGATAAGGTGTGGGTGAGTAAACTTGGTTATTTGCAATTTTTCTATAAGTATAAAACAAAATCTTGAATTATTAATTCTGTTTTTGAATTCTGTACATTTATTCTACTTGTATCATTACAAGAATTGAATACAATTATTGTAAAAATGCATAAAATATATTTTGTTTTTATAATAAATATTTCATATTTTTATTTTTCAAAGTCATTAATTCACGTTTTTCTGCGGTTATTTTATAAAATCTATTCGAAATAATAATATTAATGGAATAATATATATTTTCTCGCATTTTGTTAATGCATTTTTTCATTTGTACGAAAAAAAAAAACTCTTTAAAAAAAAAAAAAAATACATTTATATAAGGCTTGTATTTGTTTATTAAACAATATACATTTTTTTTTATTAATCCAGTTACCTTCCCATCAATATTAACTAATAAATTCTGAAAAATAAAAATAACTTTATTTATTTGTTTTAATCAAATCGTTATGACTAAGTAACGGATTTTTTTCTTATCTGTATGGTATTTTTTTCTTACCGTAAAAATAATTTATTTTTCATTGAAAAGTTGCATTTTTAATTGCAATTATTATGTATAATTAATTTCAAGTCTGTGTAATGTATTTTGAAGGGATGTAAACTTTACATGAAGTGATTCGTTATTTAATAATATGTGATAAAAAAATAAATATTATAATGCGTTTAAAATTATAATCATATATTATATGCTCAATAGACAAATACAAGAAGTTTTTTTTTGGTTTATGAAAGAAAATTGAAAATTGAAATATACAGACAATTTAGGAACTGGGGAGTTTTTAAATAATGATAATCATTGATAATTATTTATCTATATCTATTGCAGGATATATCTGATTAAGGTTAAAAAAAATATACTGAACAAATTTGATGATAAAAATGAACTTTTTTTATTCTAGTTTAGGATTTTTTTGACGTTATGACATCATTTTTGTATTATAATGGTGTTTAAAAGATTTGTTGATAATATTGATTGCAAAAATATTTTTAACAGAATATTGTTATCATACCTTGAGTTATATAAGTACAATATTAAAATTAGTAACTATAAAATATTGTAATGTACACGAAAACGAGTGGGTATGCATATTTTTATCATTAGATGTTACGGTATTTGAAGTTAAACTTAGTGTAAGTGGCAACTAGCAGGAAGTACCTACCATTAATTAAATGCTACGCATCGAATAATAACAATTACTACTTAAAATACTGCCACTAAAAATTAATATATATAAAAGTTTTATGCTTTTAACTATAGATTGTGATTCGTGAAATTAAACAAAATTCCTTATGGAATTTATCGCTTATTTTTTATTAAAAGTACTTAACGTAATTTATCGTAAAAAAACATCTCGTTGTGTATTATTTATAGTTAATTTTTTATTTGTTTTTAGTAATTTGTCAATTTTATGGATCATTTGTTTTAAATAAAGTAAACTATTACGACTCGAATTTCATAAATTATTTTATTTTTTTATTAATCATTATAATTGGTGTTATATTTTATATTTTTATTTAAAGTAATTTATTTAAAATATGTACAAATATATATACAATGCTGTAATTACTCTAATGCATATTGCGCAATGAAATGTAAAACAGTGACACTTTAAAAAGCTATCGGTTTAGTATTATATTGTGCACTGGTGTTGTATACTACAGGAATATATCGATTACCTATATGCTAATAATTATCTTTTAAATATTGAATATTTTAAAGTGCTTAATAAAAAAATGTACCTACCTATTTATTAAAAAACTAATAGCTTCAAATAATTAATGAATGTTACTAACAAGCTGCAATAATATAGTTATTTAATTTGATTATGTGTGATGTTTGATTTTATAATCAGAAAACAATATTTTGTTTAAACTTACATTCGTCATTACATTTTAATTAACTTTATAAAGTTAAAAATTATAATTAATGATAATTATTGATAATAAATAATATTTCTACGTCATATTATTATTTAGAATTACACGGGATTTATTAAAATCATTTAAGTGAACTATTGTAAACTATTGAAATATAATGTTTTAATTGTAATATAAAACATTAATTTAATAATTTAAACATTATTTGAAAAACGTTTGATTTTTTTTTCGATTAACTACAACTCTTGACACTATTTTGAACGTAGCATAATCTCACACGTTATGGTTCAATTTAATTTAGATATAATTTATAGTCCAATATGATTTTTTGTATTAAATTTTTAAACTTTTTTAGTACAAACAATATGAGACTCTTTAAATAAAAAAAAAAAAAAACAACTTTTGTATATAAATTATTATTGTGTTTTGTTATAAGGTATTAAAAAATAAACAATAATTTTAAACTTTCACCAAAGTGTACATAGAAAAGGCTAATATAATATTTTTAGTATTTCATTTAAAACATTGTTAATTGATTATTAAATTTCTGGTGTAAAAAAATAAAAAAAATATGACACACATATTGGTGGATTGTTTAAACGACCGGTTATTCATATTTCAAAAATATAACATTATAACATTTTATTTATATATGTTTGTGCCAAACTTGTGGTGAACTTTTTTCCGTTAAACATCTCTTCATCTACTGTCAAACACATACAGAATCGAGAAAAAAATCAAGAAATTCCGAATAACATCTATGAAGTTCTCGGCACTATTAAAGATGACCTCAAAAAAGTTATTTTATTTCTTAAATATATTGACATGTATAACTCTATTTAATAATCTATTTTTTTTTTAGAATTTTTTTAGACATGTTTAAGATTAGTTAAATTTAGTAAATTTTAACCAAAGAAAACGTATTTGTTTATAATACGTATATAAATCTGTACTATACATTTGGTAATGTAATGCAGTGTTAAGATGCTTATATAATATGTATCGACATGTGTACGTACACACTACACAGTATTATGGTGGTACAGTACCGTATGCTACCTGTTGCTCGTACACGATAGTTTAAAAATAAACCATTTTATAATCTATGATATGTTACTACCATTTTATAATTTTAACCTTCCTCCTTCCCCGAAAATCGCTGTGACAAATATTTGATAACATTCAGTTAACCATGGCAACATGTCGGAAACATTGCGTTTGATCAATTAGAATTATTGCGTGAAATATTATATTGTACAAGAATTATTTTGGAGGTTATTAATTTTTGTAATTTTTAATTTTAAATAAATGTATTATACACACACACATACCCTATACCCATGTTCGTGTACATATAACGTGTATAATTATTTTATTTTGAAAGTTCGAATCTCTACGAATTCGTGTCCTTACCACAATTCAATTCAACTATGAATTATACATTGTCTAGAAGATGAACAGTTTCGTTAAGTACGATCCCGGGTTCTCAGCCAGTGAATATTTTGAACGCACCCGATGCATCGATGCCGATTTCCGAAGAATGATCTACGACTTGCGTAAGTTAATAATTAACCATCATGATACTGCTTTGTTTCAGCGAAATTATTTTTTTAACAATACACCGCTGGTGCCCTTGGCCATAATTTAATATATTGCTATCTCTTGACACAATATAAGGGCACGAAAAAAAAAAAAAATCATAATAATTGGACAAGTTTTTCTGTAATTTAAATTCGTATACTTGCCTCATAGATACAAAAGTTATGGAGAATGTTATTTCTTCATTATGCTGCGGGTCGTGTGTCCTGAGGAGTATCGTCGAAAGCCAAAAAGTTTTTGCGCAGCTCACGATCATAAGAGCCTAGATGGAATAACTTTCACCTGTAATTTCCTCATAACATTCCATGGAGTCTTATTATTATGTTGTACTGTGAGAATTTAACACTTTTGATGTAAAAATACAATAAAAGTATCTACGTTAATATTATAACATTATATAATGTTTCGCATTCCGTATGATCGGGGCTACTTAATACTAATATTTTAATTAATGACGACAAGGTAGTTAAATATCAAATATATGGTTTTAGCTAGTACGTTTATTAATCTGATATTTTCATTGCATGGCTGTGAAGTTATTGAATTTTCAGGTTTTTTCATAATATTATTTAATTCATTGCTAAGCAAGGTAAAAATAAATTTATTTCATTTTACAATGAATATTTTTAAACTTCACGCGTTTTATACGTAATTGATAAATGATAATATTTCAAAACTTTTTTAGTTAAAAACTAAAAAAAAAATGTCCATTATTCTGTACAATTCTATTAAATTGTATAAAGTCTATTAATACGTAGCAAATATTTTTATGTTTAAATGTTTGTATTTATTATATTTCTTAAAAATATTGAACATAGATTGCAATAATTTAATATTAAAACTAAATTGCTTAAAAACTATGTTTTTTTTTTTTTATTGTATTCAAAACTTAGTTAATATTTTTGAATTAAATAATTTAAATAATTTATTGCTTTTTTTTTTTAATATTTATTTGAATATATACAATCTGTAATAGTAGTTACAATAAGCATATGAGCTGAAAAGTACAGTTGGTAGTGAAATCGTGAGGGGAGTAGCTACCCAGCAGTAACATTCGTCCAATTTATTGCTGAGTTTTTTTTAAGATTATATACATAGGTTATATGAAAAATGTTTTCATCATTTAAATAAATAACAATTATATTAAATGTGTATATTTTAAAGCATATCATTTTTTCTTTTTTAAGTATACGTTATCTCTTTTTATTTTTAGTATTCTTTTAAAGTATTATGTTATAAGGTTCACTTATATTAATTTTAATTATTTTTTTTTTTTTTTTTTAACTATTATAATTTAATTTAATTTTCACTAACTAACGTTACATTATACAAAAAAAAAAAAAAAAAATTACTTAAAATTATAGTTTCAATGTTTTTCTTTAAATATCTAAAAATTGTGATAGATTTTGAACATACATTCATTTTTTAAAGATAACAGTGATTAATTAATTATGTTGTATGCTAGCGTAACTGAGTCAAATTTTTTAACTGAAGGATCGTCAACTACATTCTGCCACACAAAGGTATTTTCTTCAAATAAATAAGGTTATATGTTAAGCCTTATTTTATTAAAATATAAATAAATTTTTTTTTTTTTTATTTACGTTGATGATCATACAAGTAGTTGGAATAACACTAAATACTTATTGTATAGTACTTACCTAATTATATGTATATATATTATATTTTACACGTTTATAATCGAATAAGAGTAAGTACTTATGTTTTTATGTTAATTTTATTGTTTTAAAATTTACAATAATTTTCAATATTTTAACATTTTACAATGGTTCGTCAAATGTATAAATATTTATCTGTTATTTTGAGATGCTTTTATGGTAACTTACTTCTAAATGCTTAAGATAGTTCAACGCATACTTCAGTTCTTCATAGTTTTAATTTATCTAGATTATCTAACTGTAGAAAAATTACAAACCTCTCGTTTTTTTCAAATTATTATTAATTAAGAATTTTAAGAATTGATAATTCTGAATTAGAATGTTATGTACTACATATATTCAAAGTTTGTTAATTACTATATTTAAATAAAGTATCGTGTGATCTGTGTAAAATAAGAAATCTTGTAAGGTATGTAAATAATTTCAAAACTGCTAAATAAAAATTTATTATTATTGTTATATAGGTTTGATTGAACCAATATACACAACGATAGAATAATTATATAAAATAATAGCATTTTACTACTAATTCTTCAGTGTAAAAGAAATTTAAATTCAATATTTATATTTTAATGAATTTACTATATCTTATTGATCAATCTTATAAAATCTAGAATAGATTGTTATACTATAATATTTTAGTTTAAACACACTTGATTATTCTAAATTAGCTATTATATAAAGCATGATATTATACATTTTATACCAAAATTTTATTTTATTTTGTGAAAATCGTTGTCGTTTTAATTAAGTCTGAAACACTTAATTCATGTATAATGCTTAGTTCATGATGGTTCCCCGCATTATCTTTGTCGCATTTGCAATATTTTATTGTAGATTACCATTATAATTTATACCGGTTTTAAATCCATTCCAATTGCCTTTAAGGACATCAGTTTCTGTTAATTCGTCGTAAATGTTATATTTTATGCTAATTTCTTATCTTATTTTATAACTTTCCCCAATATTATTCCAACGCATTCTTTAACATTTCGGTGTACGAGTCACATTATCTGTACTCAGTTCTTATAGTTTCGTGTATTTGTATCGTTAAAATCCATTCACCTATATTTTCTCTAAAAAAATTAACACTAGAGTGTAATCTAGTATGTATAAATAAAATTCTGTGCGTTCATATAGTAGTTACATCAATAATATATCAATAACGTTGCGTTTAATAATAATTTTTACAAGGTATAAAATTATTAAATTATTCATGTTTAGAATACTAAGAAAAGTTTTAAAAATCACAAACATCATATTATATCATTAATACAAATTTGTAATTAACTCATTTCATTAATGATGTTCTTAATAGCGTTTATTGCTTTTTAAACTTTTTTTATTGTTAATTCTCAGTTACTAATAACACAACATAATGCAATATCACATTTATACCTCGACTAACTCAGTTGATAGAGCATGAAACCTTAATCTCGGGATCATGGATTCGAGCCATACGTTGGATATCATTTTTTCGTATACATGGATCGCTTCCAACATACTTTATATAATTATTTAATTATTTAATAATTTAAAATATATTACTTTATTATTACAAGCAGTGTTCTATAGTGATCGTATCATACAATAGCCACATAATTAACCATTCTATTTCCTATATTATATTTTATATACTTATTACTTATATTATAACAATGGTATTAATGAATAACCAATACTTACTGACCAAGGAAAAATTACAGTAATTGTTGTATTTTTTTTTTTTTACCTTATTTTAAATAATGTATTAATTTCTATTGTCATTTAAGTAGTAATCTAGTCGCAAGTGTATGACTCTATTTAAGTTGTTACTTATGACAATTATAACATAAATATTTTCTTAATTTAATTTTTAAATTAAATTTATTTCTTATTGCTACTTAATTAATTTTACAAATATCAAATGCCTATTAATACAACAATATGTATCCAAATATTACTATTAATGTACCACAATTCATTAAAATATTATTGGTGACAATTTATTATCGTGAAAAAAAATATTTTGAAGCATGAATTAAAGTTTAGTTAATGTAACTGAATATTATTATTCTACAATACATCATAACATCATGATTTATAAACAAAAAAAAAAATTCTATTACTTTAATAGTATGTATGAGTTTAATTTTATAATAATATTGTATTGTGTTTTATCCCAATACTATTCAGTTATAATATAATGATATTTGTTTAAAAATTATTAATCTTTAACGCTGTAGTTATATACTGCCGTGTGTTTATAACTTTTTTAAATTATATCATATTGTCCTAAAGGTGAAAAGTAATTATAACTGTAATAACTAAATAATATTAATCTTTTATAATCGAATGGAAACATTATATCATTTAATAAAATATTATGATTGTTATATTTTTTTGAAAATTTATTTTCATTTAATAAAAAACAAAATGTATTCATAACAATAATTTATTAAGTTTTTAGTCTTTGAATGTTATTGTGATCTATTGTATTTTACTTTATTTAAAACATGTTTGGTAAAATTTTTATTTTTATCCACAAATGATTGTGAAATTCAAAATAATTAAATAATATAATATAATTGTTTATTTGTTTACATTTATTTCTAATATTCAATTTTAATTAATATGAATTTAAAAGTTTATTACATGTTATAAATATAGTAAGTAATTTTAATTTTCTAAATGGTAATAAATTAAATTTTATGTTAAAGGATTATTTAAATAGTTTTAACAAATTGTATGTTTTTGTTTTATTAAAAAATTAAAAATTATGTTTTAATATAATGTAGCATGACCTAAATCAAGAGAAAAATATATTTGGATCCTTCGCAGAACTATATTCGGGAACTAGAGTAGAGAACCTTAAGATTACTACCATATAAAGTAGCGATAATATTTTTTTTTTAGTTTTGGGTATTTTTTAAATACTAAAAAAAATGAATTATTTAGGAGAATATTCCATTTAGTCAACATATGTTTTTTAATTAAAAAATTGAAGGTTTGTTCAATTCAATTAATTTATTCATTAAAAGTAGAATCCGGCACAGAAAAATTATATTTAAACAAATAATTCATGTTAACTTTTTTTAGATCATCGTTTTTGTTTTTTTTTTTCATTTTTTTAATGTTAGCAATACTTCCAGTGTAAAAATGTGTTCAATTACCCAACCAAATCAAAAATAAAAAAAAATAATATTCGTTGACGTGGTTTTTTAAATGATGTGATAAATGTAAACTTGTAACAGTTATATTTTAGGTATAATATCATTAACCTCTATGCACTATCATGTCTATGATCCCTCCCACCCCAAAAAAAAATGTTAATTGTCTTAGAATTTTCTATTATCCAAATACACTGTATATTTTTGTAACACCTAACCAGCTTATATTATACGTTTTGAACCAGGAGTTCAATTATTTACCTGAAAATTCATAATTTTGTAAATATTGTGTTATGTATTATCAAGAATTTTATAAAACATGTAAAAAATATTTCAAAATGTAGAAACATGTACCAAAAATTACCCTAAAGTGATAAAATAATCTTTTTGTACAATATTAATATGTAAGTGTCTTACTACCGTTACTATCTTATAAAACTCCAATTTTTACAATTTATATTAGATAGGTAATCGAAATTATAGATATTATTTAGTTTGATTGCAGCGATTAAAACACAATTTAAATCCTTAGACATGAAAAATAATTTGTATCATTATTTACGTTGTTACACTATTATAAAATATAAGAGTGGTCATTAAAATAAGTTTTTCGTGTATATACATTTTTAAGCTGAAAGTAATCGGTGAATTGATTGATCATCGTTTTTTTTTAATACATAGATCGCTAAAAAAATTGGTGCTTATTATCAATATAACAAAAATAATATGTTTTGTTTATAAAACATGGTATTATATTCTTTTTAGTTTGTTTAATATCCCATAAATTTGCACACTCTATGTAAAATTAATCATAATCTAGCTTAACCATTATTTAATACCATTTGGTTGTATATATATAAGTGTATACACTTTATAACTGTTAGATTTATTTACATTATATTATAAACTGTTTTATCTGCATGTTTATATTTTATAGAATAAGTGGTTAATCAGCAGTGTAAAAATGTATGACACGTTTTAATGTGATTATGTTTATTATCCTTAATAAATATTATTGTCATAACTCATTTATATGATAATTATTTATTAGTTTTATAATAATTTATTGATTACTAATCTTCGATTAGAACATTTATTTATTTTTTTACATTAAAACTTTTATTCTTAACAGACATATGTTATTAAAATATTTATGCTATTATATTTATTTCTGAGCACTAACACCTCATGTTTGATAAAAAAGAAATTTTGTTGTACTTGCTTGCATGTTATTTGATTTATTATGTAATAAGTTATATTTTATAATTATTACGAAACATATCCTAGAATATATATCATATAATATATAATAATTGATAAGTAAACAAAATAATAAACAAATATTTTTGAAAATACAAATATACTAATTTTGTAACAATTTGTTTGAAATTAATAAATTTGAATTTTATTTTATTACGATTTCTTGAGAAAAAATATTATTTTTACTTATCAAAAATTTGTTTTAAATTAATTGTATAGTATTAAAATTAAAGAAATATTTTTTTTGATTTAAGGTTATTAAATTTTAAATTAAAACTGAGAATGATTTATAATTTTTTTTTTTTTTTTTTTTGATCTGTCATAAAAATCGTTCAACATTGAAAAATAAGATACAATAACATTTAACAAACAGCTTTTTTTTTTAATTTAATAGAAATATTAACGTTTAAAGACTAATTACATTCAATGTTTGAATATTTGAATTTAGGAGTTTTTCTAAATTCCAAACCACTGAACTATAAAGGCAGAACTTTTAAATCATAAAAGTACAAATAAATAATGAATCAAATATGACATTATTTTAATAAGTTAACAAACTGTACATGAATGCGTTTCCATAAAAAAAAAATAAACCATTTCGTTATTTTGACAAATAGGTAGTGTACACAATACTATACGCTATCTTAATTTTATTTTTGATCGTTCAATCAAACATACTTCACGTAAAAAGATTGATATCATAAATCATATTATAATTTTACGGTGTTTTTGGAGAGATAAAACACTCACATAACTTCACTGTAAAACTAATAACATAGTCGTCTGGCTTGGACTCTAAAAATGAAAATTATCACACTTATCGTTTATATAATATGTAATATGTATATGTATATAATATTATTTATAGTATATACATAATAACAGAATATATTTTTATATCTTTCATTTGTTTAATAATAATATATGTTGTTTTTAATGTTACTTACATATTAACGTGAGTAGAACGTTTGACATTTATATGTGTATGAAATATTTTTCTTAGTAAATTATATGATACGACATAATAAGATATTTTACAAATATTATTTTGAGAAGACATATCGGGATAAATTACATTGCATTTTTATAAGCTACGCAATAGTTATACTACCCCATATTGTAGCAAATAATTTAAACATATAATCCCTAAAACATAAAACAATGTTTCACGCTTGTTATAACTTTATTGTAATATAGGTATAAAGAAAACTTAATTTCGTTTAAAATAATATTATACAAAATATGTAAACTTTTTTTTTATTAAAATTAATTTAAATTAATGAAAAAATATATTGATAAATAACTAATTATTTTCTTGTATTGATTAAAGCAACTATAAGCTCAGAGATAAATCATTATTTTACTGATAAAATATCTCTAAAAACTATAATTCTGTAGTATTTATATATTGTTTTGTGATTATTGAATATTTTTAAAATTATTATTTTATAATAATATTAAGTAAAATTCACGAGAAAAAAAATGCCAATCATAGCTGCATAATAAAAGTAAAAGAACTTCAAGGATTTGATTTTAATTTGTATTAATACATAGGGTATGACGCGTTATATACTAGATAGCTTATATTTTGAAACGATGAGGTGGTTACTTTCTGATAATAAGTTAGAAAGGATAATAAGTGATAAGAAGGTTTAGATGATTGTGGTTGGTTTTATGCATTTTTATTTTTTATTTTTAAGGGATTTGTGTGTGTGTAAGTGTATAACTAATGATTGGATGTTATGATGTAACACATGAATACCAGATATCGTTAGTATTAGATGAATATTAATAGTTTGGACTTATTTTAATAATTTCAAGTTAAATTATTTGGTTTACAAATATCATAAAAAATATACTGATAAAGAACGAATTAATTGATTATAAACATGAAATTTGTTTTCTAGAGAGATATATAAATGGAGAAATTCCCTTAGTTTATAAAGTCTTAAGCTTAAAAAATATGTTTTCTTTATAGTTAATGTCTAGGTTAATCATTTAAAAAGATAGAATTCTATGTATTTTAATGAGTATATAAAGTGAGTTTATTTTCGTGGATTTTCGTTTTCCGTAAAGTGTGCTGTTTTTGTAATCTGCAATATATAATATGTTATGTAATGTGGGGTTAAAGATTAAGTTTATTGCCTTGCAAAAAGCCTGTTTTTATGGCAAGAATACTAGAATTATCACATTTACACCATACTACAAAAGTTCGAAAAATAAGACATAATTTTTAAGCAAGGAGAAGTAGAGTTTCTAGAAAGAGGAGTTTGAAAAACACCTGAACAAAATTTTTGGATCTTATGTCATTACCTCATTAGTGATATTATAAATTAATTTGTATTGTACTCAGCGAAAGGAAGAATTGAGTTTATCCAAGTTGGTAGAATATAATATAATATCCAAACTATTGTTAAAAATATGATTAAGAAAAATAATAGACTTATTGTGCAATTGATTGAAAACTGTATTGGATATCAGTAGGTATTTGTTATTTTGTATATTGTTAATAATGTACCAAATTTCAGAGATTTTTAAATGTTGTGTAAGAAGGTTATTTGATACATGATAAGAGTCGTTCTTTTCATTCATTATTTTGAGTATATTTCAAAGTTGTGCGTGAATAGAGTTGTTTTAATGTTTGAAATAACTAAAAATGGTATATCTGGCACAGAGAAAGTGTTTAAACTTTTTAATTTAAGATATTTTTTGCTATGTTTCAAAGAAAATAACTAAGGTTAATATGTAATTTTTAATAATTAAGTTTTAATTGTTTAAATTTAATTTATCTATACATACTTATATTTTACCATAAATTTGTCATAAGTAGTCTGTCATATTTTCTGTATTTAGTTTGTAATGCTATAAACTGTTTATTACAAATCGATATCATATTTCTAGAACTTTTTTTTTTTTAATACTCACATTTTTTTTTTAGTCATTAGCAGTCAATAGGTAATTTATATACATTAGTTTTGTGTAAGTGTAAATTTATAAAATGGACAATTATAAACAGTTTTATACGATGAAGTACACCATAGTTTTAAATCGATGTAAATAACAAATATAACAACATGAAAATAAACTATTATTTTTGTTATATTTAAAAAATCGTTTTTATATTTTTTTAGAAATAGCGATGTACAAGACAACATATAATATATCGTTTTATTGGCCGGAAAATGTACCCAAACGCAATTATTATCAGTAAGTATTAAAACTTTAAATATTTATAAATACACATATACCAAAAAAATTAATTTATTAATCCCAATGTAAACTACATTAATTTACCTCACAAAATTATTAGATTATATTTTTACATTATACATGTGCATATCAAACTTTCCATATTTTCAACTTTCAAGTTCATACAATTTTAACATTAGTCATTTTGACATTTTTGACTATTTATAAATTGCTTTGTTTAAATTTTTATGGTGGATTCTAAGTTATAGGTATTATACTTTTATCTTCTATACCAATAGAAGATGAAAGTATATGCTTAAAATATGATATCTACTTCTAATGGCATCGTATCTAATGATATAATGTAATGTGTTTATGATTTATGTACAATTTTTTGTAATATTTTAGTTCATTATATTTAAAAAAAAATTTAAAAAAAAAATTAATTAAAGAATCGAACCTGGATTTACTACGATACCGAAGCCAAATGATGATCAGTATAAACAACTGTATACACCTGAAATTTTAATATCCAGAAAACTGAGTGAAAATAAAAGAATTGTACCACCTTTGGATTACTCAATAAGTATCCCATCAATGGTATGTACCAATCTATCATATGTTTTAACATTGAATATAAAGAATATAATATTTTAAATATAATAAAATATTTTTTATGAGAATTATGAATAAAAACAATTCATTTTTACATATCCCATTTCCCTATATTATCTTTAGTTGATATATATTATTTATTTTACATTTATACCTGTAGTAATATTGAATAAATAATTAAGCCATGTATTTATGTTAGGTTCAGTTTTTAAGTACATTGAGCTATATTTAATTACATATCGTAATAACAAAATTTCCCTATAAGCATATATCAAAAAAAAAAAAAAAAGACAAATCAAATAAATCCTTTGTTTAGGTTTACGTTATTTCATATATTAAAATTTCATCTTAATATATATATAAATATGATACACTGAGTGTATATTTAAGTCTTAGAAAAACTATAAATTATTCAGTTTGTTTATTTATTTAAAAAACAGTACGTGATGTATTATCATGAGAGATCGGAAATCTCAAAATTCCTTTATTTTAAATACACTTTTTAGTATATTTTGATTCATGTATTTTCGTTTTACTTCCATGAACAATAAACCGACTGAAGTAGCGTAGACTTTGAACGGTTCGACAAACATAAACGTTTCAACGGTCCGATTTAGACAAAATACAAAGGTTTTTGTATTGGGTTTTATGTAACGTGTATACACGAGTCGTATTTCAAAAGTTAGCCAAAGAATAAATATTTCAAGAGCCTGGGCTTTATAATATATTTATTATATACCAGAAAAAAATGCAATCATGTTTTTTTTTACGTATATGTCTGTTTATCAGAATTATTCAACGTTATACAATTTTTTTTACTTACTTAAAAATAATAATAAAATTCAATAACTATAAATTTTAACTTTAATATATCTACGAAAGAGATAATATTTAAAAAAAAATACTATAATGCGATACAATTTCATGATTTATAAAATATTAACCCATTATTCATGGTTTTGAATATATGCAATAGTATATATATATATATATAGTAAAGATATAATATTTAACAGCAATATTCAAATCGTACAAACAATAAAAATGCATTTAAATCAATAAATAGTAGTTATTTATATTATTTTAAATCTTTAATATTCTGAATATACAATAATATTTTTTATAAATGATTCGCCTTATTTATTTAACATACAAAATGCGTGTTAGTGCTTATATACAGCATTTTATTTCAATTGTTGTATTATATCTTCAATTGCATAAAACAGAACGTTATTAATTTTCAATTCGTTAATATAAAACTTACTTAATATTTCTAAAAATGTTTAAACTATATAAATCGTTATAATTAAAATATTCGAATAAAACTAATTATGTAATAAGATTATATTTTCTTAAATTTAAAATATTAGTTTACTCATAATATTATATTGTCCAATTAAATTAGGTTACTTAAATTTAACATTTTACTTATACATTTTAAATACTCAAAATTTTTTTAAGGCTTTACAATTTTTCATTAGTATTTAAATCTGTTAAAATAAACTTAAATGCATGTATGCTATTTATTGTTCTTATTCTTAAGATTTAAGCTTTAACAAAATGTATTGTATAATATACATATTAATAATATAAAAATTTATAGTCTTACCTTTTATACCGTTTGTTAGTACAGTAGGTTTAAATACATAAAATATATTATTATTTTTTAGTAATTATAAGACATATTATATTATAGGTATAAACAACATAATGTGTTTATAACATTTTAATTTTAAATAAATACTTGATTTATATGTACAAAATTTAATCGGTGAAAAATGTTGGTCAGTAAATCAATTGCTCAACGTATAAAAAATGTATACTTTTAACTAAGAAATATATTTTTTGGAAACTCTAAATTAAGTACAATTAAACTTAAAAAGTCGATTAATAATAGCTAACCAATCAAAAATTAAATTATATATTTTATATATTATTCATATTAATATGTATCTAGTTTGAAGTTAGTTATAACTAGGGCTTGCATTTGAAAAAAATTGTTATACGCTATTGATAATTAAAACGTTATACTAATTTTGAGTTTATTGTTATTTAGAATTAAAACGTTATTCAATGTTTGCGTTTATGGTTATTCAGAATTAATTTTTTTAATATATTTTTTTAAATTATAACTATTGAATAATTGGAAATTAATTATTTCATTTAATGATAAACTATATAATATAACGTTTAGCGTTATGTTTTGTTTGATGATATATCATATATTTTGTTAATCGTTATGTTTTTTTTTTGTGTTAGTTAATTATTTATGCTTATAGTTTTCCGTTATAATTACGTTTACAAATTTCAATAGTTTTTTGTCAAATATAACATTATTATAATGTTTACAAACTCTGGTTACAACAGTTTATTTTAATTTCAGTTATAAGTTCATTGAAAAAAAAGAAAATTTAACTTATCAAATTGTAATTCGTGCTAAAATTATTTATGTGTTTGAAATAGTACCTGAATTGAAAATTTAAAAATTATAAATGCATAATATTATATAAGCAGTTATAATAAATTATTATATATCAAATAAAAAAATATTTTTTGTTTCATTTTATTTAAAGTTGCTTCCTATTTTCTGGCCATAATTATTATACATTTTTATCTTAAAATAACATAGTTTAAAAAAGAATAAGTGACGACCAATAAAATTGGATATAAAAAATCGTATAGTTATTGCCGATATTGATAGTTCTGACACTTTTACTAAATAATTATTTTTATTATTCACTCCAAAATACAATTTAATAAAAATATCATCAACTACAGTGTCAAGACGAGGATTTAAATGACTCTGATACACACGCGAAGTCTTTGTACCAAGAGAGTTACATAAATTGGACGCCAAATCAAGCACATAAAAAAGGTTCAACTAAAGTCTAAAGTTATATGCTTTTTTTCTTCTTACCTATATATATAAATTGATTGGTTTTATTTTTTCGTTTACTCGCTAGAGGAAACATCAGAAGAGTGGGCTCAGAAATGGAGAAACGAGTGTCACAACGTTCGAGATGCCGACGATTTAGTGCACGACTTATCGAATCGAATAATCAAATCGCAAAAGATGATATTGAGTAAAAAGAAGATTGGCTATGCTTAGTAAAGAGTATTGTTTCATAGATTGAAATTTTGATAACTATTTTATTATAATTAAAATGTTAAAAAAATAGTAATTTGTAAAAATAAACAATTAATAATTTTGATTTAAGAGGACATTTTTATATTCAATTCTATATTTAGTGAGTGTCATTGATGGATGGCTTATTATATTTCGTGTTTCGTGTAAATATATATTATTTTTATGTTAGTTCTTCTCTTTTTAGTTGTATTAATGTATAATATATATACATTACATTTCACTCTGTACCACGTGTACTCATTGTGTCTCTTAAGTAAATATTGTATATTTCAAATAAAGAAAAAAAATTCTTTATTTGAAATATAAAATAAACAATTTTAACTAGCTGATATTAAAAGGTACTGATAATTTTAATGTAGGTACTATCTATTTTTATTGAGTATACTAATGGTTATGAAACAAATAAAATAAAAGAACATAACTTATTTTATAATTTTTGTCGGTTTTCAGTATCATTAACTAGTTTTTAACTCAATGAATAATAAAATTTTTACATTTTAAATTGAACATAATTATTTTTATTATTTTTAAACTTGTTTTACAATATATAAAACTTTTTTTGTGTATTATTTTGCAATATTATAATTATAAAGTTTTAATTTTTAAACTCAATTATAGTTCATTTTTTATAATAATATAAAGTATATTAACAATGAATAAAGAGAACACGCCTTTTGTGTAGTTCTTTTTAAGGTCCACTTTTAATCGTATAATTAAATTGCTTGTATAAATCGACTAGTTGTACATGATTATTAATTAATATTTCTTAAATCATTAATATATATTTTTTATGAATATATTTAGTTTTATGCATTTTAATTTTGATAAAAACTTATATCAAAAAGTCGATGATGTGAAAACATTTCAATCAGTGGTTTTACTTAAATTATACTTGGATATACATTCATTTAAAATTTAATGTTTTTAATGTACTCTTCGAAGATAAGATATAACTATTAATGTAATAATTAATTTTAATTATATTATATCTAAGTTAGTTTTTGAAAATTGTAAAATTTTATAAATTTAGAACACACCGATATTTTTTGCTAAATTTTTTTAGCAATTAAATATCTAATAAATTTCCATTGTTATTATTTTTTTATTACTATTATTAATATACTTTATAATGTATCTAAATAACATAATACATATTATTCAAATACATAGAAAATAATAAAATAAAATATTAAACGAAATATCACATTATAATATTATTGTTATTTACATCATAAAATATTACTATTCTGAGTTTTTAATTTTATTTAATAATCTGTTGTAAGAATAATGTTTTAAAAAAAGTTACCCAACCGTGAAATTGGATAAAAAGTAATTTTTCTGAGTAGTCTTGTGAGGAGTGAATAATTTTGTTTAATATCAAAATTTGAATTAAAGTAGACTTACTATTTAATATTTAGTTATATTTAAGATTAAATTATAACACTTAAAAATGATAAATTATGTTTTTAAATATTATACATTGTGTATTTAAGCACAATAAATAAAAAATATATGTATATTAATTGACAGTATTATAAGCAACTTTATTCTATTTTATTTATAATTTAATATTTTATCAGTGAATAACATAAAAAAAAAACACAATTAATGCAAATTAATGACATATATTTTTTTACACTATTCACAATAAAAATCTAATATATAGGTATTTTTCATAATTATTTCAGTACTAATATGTATTAAATTTATAATAATAGTAGGAATTATTATGTATGAATAATTTGAGTATATTTGTATGCGAGTTTATTGGTAGTTAAATACTTTAATTATCTTGAGTAAAATGATCATTACTAGTATTCGTTATTTACATAATATATACCTTTAAAAAGATGTATACCTAATTTATAAATTATAATTCTTCAAATAACATAATCATCATACAATTTATTTATACGATATAAATTTAATTTATTTTCAATTTTTAAGATATTTATAAAATTATTTTTATTTTTTTAAATAATTTTAAACTGTAGAATAATCAAATAGAAATATTTAATTTGAATATGTCTTAAAATCTACAATACAATTAAAGGAAAATTATAAACAGTAAATATTGAATATACGGTTTTAAATAAAAACGATTCATTAATGATAATCAATGGGTGTCTTAACTTTTATTATTTCATTATAGTTTAGACTTTAAATCATTATTAATAAGACAAGACAGCACTGTTTCAATTTTATTTTACAAGTTCTTTGAATTATAAACGATTTTTTTTTTTTATTCATTAATAAATAATTTAAATGTAGATATGAAATAATACAAAGGTTCAAAAGATGCAAATTTAAAATATTAAATTTTTTTTAAATAAAGTATTTTTGATGATTATCAAATATGAAAAGTGTAAAAACTGTTATGCGTTAAGTTTAATCATTTGAGTTTATTTCCAAGTAAAAATGTGATGAAAAAAAAAAAAAAACTTGATGTAAAAGTAACAGTTATAAAATTTAATAAATTCTACAGCTATTCAACTTATATTGTTTGTAAATATATTTTTTTCACCGAATTAAAACATTTTTGTACAAAATTAAATATTTTCTGGGTATAAAAGATGATACAATTATACAATTATTTATTATATTTCATTATCAAAAGAATATAAATATGAGATTATACCCTTAGTTATTACTAATTATATTTATCAAATATATGGAATCTATTGTTTTTAATACTATACTTAGGTTAAGTAAGTTCGATAAAAACCAAATTGTTTTAAATAAATCACTATTTTTTATTTTGGAACATTTTAGTTATTGCTTATAACTTTATAAAAACGCACCTAATTTGTTATAAATAGAGCTTAATTTATAAGATATTGATCACTTAACTTAAATCATAATATAGTGGAGTTGAAAAAAAAGTTAGTATTTTTTTGTTTTGAAACCATGACATCTGAAGTTTAGGACAGTTTCTCACTAATTTGTGGTTAATGATTAATTTTACAAAGCATTTTCTAATAATAAAATATAATGTAAACAAAATAGCATACCATTTAATCCTTGAAAATATATTCTGCTTTGGGATTTTTTAAAAAACTTGGGTTACTATTTAAGAAAAATAAAACCCTAAGCAAACATTACTTATAAGTTAAGAGAAAAAATATTAACATTACTGTGGGAAAAATGTAATACTTCAAAGTCACAAGAACCTTTTTATTCAGGATCACAAAACTTGACAGAGAAAATGAGTGTTTCTGGTTAAATGGGTCTCTTGGTATGTATATTTTATATATATATCAGAAGTAACCGGAGACATTTTAGTGGACTTTCTACCCCCAGTTGACATTATAATTACATCCAACGTAAATTATAATCCGATACAAATAATACGTTCCCTGTGGACAAATGTTGACTATATGAATTAGTGACCTACTAAATTTCTATTTCATTTTAATGTTAAAAAAATATGAAACGCAGCTACCAATTATTTATTACGACTTTTGTAAAATATTTTTCTCAACAGATGCTTATGGGCTCATAATCTCTCGAGATAATGTATACATTTGTGTTTTTTTTTTTTCTCTTAAAATGAAAGTATTATGACACCAAAAGTGCATTATTGGTTACAGTATTGTAGAGTTATTGTACAGAGTCTATAGCACAGGTATGATGATAATATTAAAATATATAACGAGGTCAAAGATACGATAAAATAAACAATAAAGAGCTATGCATATGTCTCAGTGTAGTTTTTTTTTAAATTTTACTAAGGAATTTTTTGGTTATCAGAAAGCACTACAAGTATACTAGATTTAATAATTATTTTTGTATTGTAAAAAATTAATTAATTAAATAAGTAACTTTAATGATTAAAAACGTTTTCAAGATAATAATAAAATAAAGTAGCAGTATGAAAATATAGTATATATAAATACAGGTATAGATAGAAAACTACTCTCCCAATAGCGGACATATTTAATTATACTATGATGTTTCCTATTAAGGGTTTTCTGTTAACAAGGAGTACCATTACCATGATTAATATGCAATATTTATTTTTATATCAGAAAATTCAGAAGTGTAAGCTATTGATAGTATGTCCTTTAAGGAGTTTCAATATACAAAAATTTTACTATATCCTAAACGTTCATCGGTAAGATCCTAAAATAGTAGTGTAATCGAATTCCATTTTAATCGTTATTGTATATTTGTAAATTATCTGTTGTAAAATTTAAAAAAAATAAATATATTTTAAATGTTGATCAAACTTGGAGCGGACCTAAGAGCTACTATATATTTTAGTATTTACTATACAAAATATATTAAAGAATAATGAAATAATAATAACTGACAGATATAACTAACTAACAATGTAATAAGTTTTGTTTTAATTATTGTTTGTTGATGTTAATAAAAATTCAAGTTATTTCGAAGTCGATTAATTCATATTTTCAGTTAATTCAGTAACATTCCGTAAATATAAATAAAATTAATAATATACATTTATGAATGAGTTATGTTTAACTTGCTCGTATTAAAATAACGTTACGAAATTTTTTCAAGAGTAGGTAACATTTTATTAATTTATATTTTTGCATTATGCTGTAGACTATATGATACTGGCCTGGGTTAGCACATAAGTATATTGTATTCACACAACACCGTCAACTAATAATAACAACAGTTTGCAGAAAGAGGGCTTACTACAAGCTTTTGTTTTGGTTTACATATACTCTAAAATGTACCCACACAAATACGTAATATAATAAATGTAAATATAGTAAATAATTTATATCCGAATTGCACATCGGCCGGCTCATTTTATAATCATGTTTTACAGCAATTCATTTTACTATCGATTTTTTTCCAATACTTATAATAGGTAATATATTATATGATATTACGTAGCTGCTACACGTGACGAATATCTGTGACTTCATTTGTACACGTTTTTGATGCATTATTTACTCTAACATTATAGCTATTTATTGGTATCTTTTGTTTCTCTAATAGATTTGACAATATATAATTCTCTTTCGTATAAATGTTGAAAACCAAATAACTCACTATTTTGATATTTTG